GCAGTCAGGTTTTGCCATTTATGAAGGATCCTTCCAGTGTGTGGCGAAATTGACACGTTATTGATGTTATTTTTAGTAATTCATCGTATTAAAATAAGTAAGCAGAAAATAATCAGAAGCCAATTTGCGGATGATGTAAAAAAACCAAAAGTCAAATGCCGCTGGCTTTAAAGGAAATACACTTGTTTTTAAAGTTCAGGGCTGCAGTTCAGTGGAAACAAAGTGGATATTAGCAAAATACTAATGAAAAATGAATTGAAATCCTTAAGCAAAACTTAATGTGAATGTATGTAAATATAATCTGCTCTTTTTTATACCTGTTATGTTGATTAAAAACTAAAAAAAATGATACCCGCTCTATTTATAAAAAAAATAAATAAATAAATAAATAAAAAAATAAAATAAAATAAATAAAAAAATGACCGGGCTTCATTTATATGTGGCTGTGTGTGAAAAATGTTTGGGATGGCGTCGTTTCCGCCCGCATGTGCAACACTAAACGAGCATATCCACGAAACGTCACGCGCACCTTGGTGCATCTGTTATCCTTTATTCAATGCCCGTTATGCACATGCAGCTGGGAGGGCGCGCGGGGTTGGCCTACATTATATATCACACTACGTCACATCACCCCATGTCCTATTATGCTAACACCCATGCCGTACCCCATTTGCTACAACAACAGCCATCCCTAACACAATATGCTTAATACACACGGCGGCTTTTATGTAAGTATTTTCAAGTACGATTTAGACTTAGGGTTCCGACATAAAAATTCTGGGTTCAAATTAAATACAGAAAGAAAAAAAAGTACGTCAGCACAATTTGAACATGTTTTTTTCTTGTTTTCAATGATTTTTCTTCTTTTTAGCAGTTGAAGAGCAGATGCATGATGGGAAACCGAAGCGCGCTGCCTACGTCATCACGTCTTGTGCGGTTCTTTGTCGCCCCCTGGTAAAATAATGGAGGAGCTGCAGTGAAAAACGCAGCGGGTCCTGGAGGCGGAGTCCACCGAGTCTTGACGCCCTGCGGCAACATTTCAAGTGAAGATGGCAGCTGCTGTGAAGCTGCGGTCATGTTTGCTGCTTTCAGCTTTAGTTTTGTACGTGGGGAGCGCGAGCATCAACTGCTCAGTGTTTTACCTCCAGTCCAGTGTGACATTTTTGTTGCGCTAAACCCTCAGTAGCTGTTAGCAGGGAAGCTAACTAGCTACTAGCTGTTGAGCCACCTGTCATGAACATTTAGGAGCTTTTAGTCGGACTAAATGTGATTTATAATACGTTATTTTATGTTTAAAACCGTGTTCTATTGGTACTGGTGTTAGTTTTATTTTAATGTGACTGTCGCTCTCAAGTAAAAAGCTAATTCTGTTATAAGAGATGAAAGCTCTGCGTTGACGTTACATTCAAAGCAGTCTGCTCCTCAGATAAATAGTTATTATTTATCTGAGGAGCAGATAAATAATAACTATTTATACTACTTATTCATTATTTATAGTTATTAACATTATTATTTATATATGAATGTTTCTGTTGTTTTCTTGTTTTTTATTTTTTAATTAGCACCCACCAGTGCTGGCAAAACTCTGGTGTCAGAGCTGCTGATGCTGAAGCTCATACTGGAGACCAGAAGAAAAGCTCTCTTCATGTTGTCATTTGTTTCTGTGGCCAAAGAGAAGATGCTCTACCTTCAGGTGATGAAAAGATGGACAGAACACGCATGCTTTGTACTCCTTTATGCTTCTCTGCAACTGTCTACATTTTTATTTGCATGTCCTTCTTTGCAGAGCGTATTTGAAGAAGCTGGTGTTGGTGTGGAGGGCTCCATGGGCAGCACATGAGCTGCTGGAGGCTTCACAACACTGGATGAAGCTGTTTGCACCATAGAAAAGCTCATTCTTGAATCAACACACTCATTGAAGAAGATAACATGGGTCTCTTAGGTATTACATCTGTTGTAATTGTACACAGATATAAAAATGTCAATTTTAAAGAAAGTTAGTTTGAAGATTTGCTTCAAAATCTTGTATGTAAATAATAATTTTTCTTAATGCACATATGGACTAACAGATGAAATGATAACTCAATAGAACATAGTGATATGTGAGTTGTTCAGTGTAATATTTCTGCTAGGAATGGTGGTGGTAGATGAGTTACACATGGTTGGAGGTTCTGGAAGAGCATACCTGCTGGAACTGCTCCTCACCAAAACTCTCTACATTGCACAGAAGCAGAACAGCACAGGGTCTGTGTCCCTACCGTTGTTGTTGCAATCCTTTTAGTTTCTTTACAGAATGTGTTCATTGATCTTTCTGCAGGTTCTTTCCGACGGTGTACAGATAATGGGGATGGGCGCCACTTTGCCCAGTCTCTCTCTCCTGGCTGGCTGGTTAAATGCAGAGCTTCACCAGACACACTACAGACCTGTGCCTTTGCAGGAACATCTCAAAGTGGCTCTGACAGCTACGATAAGAGCCTCTCTGTGGGCGATGATGAACACACGGTGAGTTTGTGTTGTGAGACGGTGGGAGAAGGCCACTCTGTGCTCCTGTTCTGCTCCTCAAAGAACTGGTGTGAAGAACTGGCAGACATCATCACTAGAGAGTTCTTTAGCCTCAGACAAACTGGTAGGACTGAGAGTAAAACATGAAGGACATCATGTACTTGACAGTATAATTCAGAATTGACTGAATGAAAACAAACTTGGTGAAACGATTGCGTATGTTTCTGCAAGCTTTCATCAGCCCGTCGAAGGCCAACGTATTATGGTCTAGTCTCCGTGCGCACATCTGTAAACTTTCTCTTGTTTCACCTATAACTTCTGATCTGCTTAAGATAATTTAAAGACACTTCATACACATTTGTACCAACATTAAGCAGCATGTCACATACACATTCCATCAGCCCAGCTCTAAGGTTAAGGTCAGAAATAAAGGTCAAAGTTTATACAATGTCTTTGCTTTTCTAGTCCATTACTACAGATTGTTCTTTTTCAGTCTAGTAGTTTGTTGACAGGTGTATAGTACTCTGTATGTGGTACTCCTGTTTGCTTTGAGTTGGGTATTGTTTTTGACTAGAACGTATCAAAAAGCTCTAATTGTGTTGTGTTTATTCCAGATGGTCTGGGTGAAGCTCAGCCTCAGCAGGTGGATCTGAATCAGGAGGGCCTGGTGGATGTTATGGCTCAGCTGAGGCGAACTCCAACAGGTTTAGACCCCACCCTGCAGCGCACTGTGCCGTGGGGGGGGGGGGGGGGGGGTCTTTCTTCATGCTGGTGAGCACATGCACACTGCAGAATGCAACCTTCTTTTTAATCAAATAACATGAACATAAGACGAGTTTTACTCTGCAGGGTTGACATTTGATGAGCGTGACGTGTTGGAGGGAGCGTTTCGTCAGGGCCTGGTCCGAGTCCTGGCTGCCACGTCTGCCCTCTCCTCAGGGGTTAATCTTCCAGCTCGACGGGTCATCGTCCGAACCCCGACATTCAATTCATTGCTGGGCCCGCTCACTTACAACCAGATGGCAGGACGAGCGGGGAGGAAAGGAGTGGACGCAATAGGTATGAAGGAAAGAAAGAGGATTATTCTTTATTTGTTACTTTTGGAGTTTCAGTGTTCTGTCTCTTCCTGTACTGTAGGTGAAAGTGTGCTGGTGTGTAAACAGGCAGAGCGTCTGAAGGGTATTGGTGTTTTTAATGGGGCTCTTCAGCCAATCAGCAGCTGCCTGGTGAGAAGGGAGGGTGAAGGTGTGACCAGCAGCATGCTCAGAGCCATCCTGGAGGTACGATCAATGTCCAAACTTGAAATTCACACCGTTCAAGTTCAAGGTTATTTATTGTCATTCACATCACATGTGGTACATGAGGTGGAATGAAACTGTGTACACAGGGTCCCATTCAATCTGCATGTTGCTGTTATTAAACTATTTCCCCACTGTACTGTCATTTTTTATCATGTTAGGTGATTTGTATTAAAGTATTTAATAAGTAACTTTGTTAGGTTGTCTGTTTTTATCCTCTCCAGATAATTGTTGGTGGCGTTGCCAGCACTCCACAGGATGTGAGGCAGTATGCTTCATGTTCACTTCTAGCTGCAAGCATGAACTGTGACGGCAAGAAAGAGTGTAATGAAGAGACGACCAGAGGAGCCGTTGAGGCCTGTGTTGAATGTTTGTTGCAAAATGAATTCTTTAGTGTTCAGGACGGACAAGGTGATGCTCAACCAGTCATTACTTTTAACTCCACGTCTGCAAATTGAACAGCTCTGCTACACAGCAACACAACAACAACTGACTTCTAACAGTTTTTATTTGACTTATTTTCACTTTAAGGTTAATTATTGTACATTCTCTGATTATTCTGTGTTTCCAGATGAGAGGTACTGTCCCACCCAACTCGGTGCCGCCACTCTTTCCTCCTCTCTCTCCCCTCAAGAAGCTCTGGGAATGTTTGCAGATCTCCAACGGGCCATGAAGGGCTTTGTACTTGAAAATGATTTGCACATTCTGTATTTGGTATGCACACATTAAATATACTTTTATTTAAAATATAATAATTTAATACAATTAAGAAACAACTCTTGTGTTGTAATTTTCAGATCACCCCACTGTACGCACTGTACGCAGAGTGGACCACCATAGACTGGTATCAGTTGTTCTGTTGTGGGAGCAGCTGCCGTCATGGATGAAGAGAGTGGTGGAGCTGGTCGGTGTCCAGGAGGGTTCCTAGCTCGATCTGTCAGCAGAAAACTTGTTGTCAAGACAGAGAAGCAGCTCAGACACATGGCTATTCATAAACGGTAAAGCCCACTTCATCACATCACACACATAAAATAACTTTAAGCACATCTTTTGCTAACAACTTCTTATATTCAC